CCCCCCCCACGCCCCCCGGTTCTTCCTCCACGGAGACAGCCAGAACCAGCACAGGACCGACCACCCCAGCCACCTCACCTGTGGCTACCAGCTCCAGGGTGCCCCCGAGTTTCCCCTTCAAAACTGCCAGCACCTCCCCAGGACCGGCCACCTCAGCCACCTCACCTGTGGCCACCAGCTCAAGGGTCCCCCCTACGTCCCCCATGGAGACCGCTAACACCTCGCCCAGTTCCCCCTTCAAGACTGCCAGCACCTCCCCAGGACCGGCCACCTCAGCCACCTCACCTGTGGCCACCAGCTCCAGGGTGCCCCCTACTTCCCCTACGGAGACAGCCAGCACCTCCGCAGGACTGACCACAACTACCTTCCCGGTGGCCTCTAACTCTCTAGTGACTTCTCCCCCCTTCACAGAGACAGCCAGCACCCCCCTTGTGCTGAGCACAGCTACATCATCCCGTGTCTCTGGTTCTTCTGTCCCCATTTCCTCCCCTGTGGTGATCAGCACCACCTCTTTGGTTCCGAGCCCCATAGCCCCCTCTACTGTGGCCACCAGCACCAGTGCACCCCTGTCCTCCCACCCCGGGAACACCAGCACATCTGCCATTCCTCCCAGGAGCCTGCCAGTCTTCACAGTGTCCACGGCCTCTACCGTGACCCTCACCACCTTTGGACCCAGCTCCCCTTCTCTCTCCCCCTTCTCCCCGACACCCTGCTTTTGCCAGGCGTTTGGACAGCTCTTCACACCTGGTAAGTCGATCCTTCTCTGTGTGCCGTGACCCCTGTCCTGCCTTGGGGTCTGTTGGCTCTCTCCCTGTCTGTCAGCTGCAGTCGCCCTGTGTCATGTCGTCTTGCTCCTCCTGCACAGCCTGTGCCTGCAGTGTCGGGACAGCCCTCCGTCAGCTGGCACTGCCTCTGCTCTCCCTCTGCCCTTTCCTTCCCAGGGGACGTCGTCTACAACAGGACCGACAGAGCCGGCTGCCAGTTCTACGCCATCTGCAACCAGCACTGTGACCTCGACCGCTTCCAGGGCCCCTGTCCTTCTTCTCTGCCACCAACGTCCTCACCTCCACTGCCCTCACCCTCCCCTGTCCCTGGATGTGACAAGGCTGTCCCTCCACGACAGGTGAGCCGCATCTTTCTCCTCTGTCTCCCCCAGATGGTGCACATCCTGGCCCAGGCTGCTGCTGGTTCCATTTGAGGCTCTGCCCTGGCCAACTGCCAGCCGTGGGATAATCCCTCCGGCCTGTGTTGGTGACCCCACTCGTGCTAGCTGTTGGCTGGGCCTGGGGTCCTAGTCAGCACTGGGCATCCATGCTCCCCAGGAAGGATGTCTGGGCTCAGAGTCGTGGGGGGACTGAGGCTGCAGGCAGGGCAGGGTTGACGTGGAGCAGGGGACCACAAGCTTGCCCAGGTGAGCACCACGCATGTTCCCCGACCAGGTGAATGAGTCCTGGACCCTGGAGAACTGCACAGTCGCCAGGTGTGAAGGGGACAACCATGTCGTCCTGCTGGAGCCGAAGCCCGTGGCTAATGTCACCTGCGTGAACGAGCGCCAGCCCATCACAGTGTGGAGCCAGGGCCAGCCGTGCGACTACCACTACGAGTGCGAGTGTAAGCAGGCGTGCCGGGACCGCGTGGCTAGGGGGCCAGGCGGGGGCCAGGGGCGTCAGCGCCTGTCACACGTGCCTCCTGTGACCGTGCGTGGACCGTGGCCACAGGACTTGAGAGGCTGACATGACACGAAGGCAGGGTGGCGGAGGCTGGGCGGCTGCATGACAGGCAGGGGAGAGAGGAGCCTGGCCGCAGCTGTGGGGAGTCCGGGTGCAGGGGCTCAGGATCACGTGCAGATGGGTCCTGACGAGCAGCTTCCTCCCCGAGCGGGCAGGGGCTGCGTGTGAGCTCACACTTGCCGTTCAAGGGGCTTCTTACCTCCCTGCGCTGCCTGTGGCCTGGGCTGCTGAAGCAGACGGCCACACCAGGGGACTGGGGACTGCAGAAGCGTGACCTCTCACAGACCTGGAGGCTGGGAGTCTGAGCCTCAGGCTGGCAGGGCCCGTAACTAGTGAGGCCCTGGGGAGGGATCTTCCCCAACCTCTGCCTCGGTCTTCACGTGGCCTTCTCCCTCCACATGTCTGTGTCTCTCCTGTCACCTATAAGGACACTTGTCACTGGGTTTAGTGCCCACCAGGTAATCCAGGGTGGCCGTATTACGAGATCACGTGCAAACACTCTTCCTCCAAATGAGGTCACACTCATGACCCCAGGGTGGACAGGGGTGCCGGGAGGCACCCTCCAACCCGCTATGCCCGTTCCAGTAGAGATGACTGAGGCCCAGCAGCCAAAGGGCTCTCCTGAGGTGACAGTAAGGGCAGGGGGAAGCTGAGGAGTGCATGGTGCAGGGGCGTGGAGGGGGTACAGGGCACGGGGGCACAGCTGGCCCAGCAGCCCTGCCGGCCCGCCTGTCCTGCAGGCTCCTGCAGCGTCTGGGGAGACTCCCACTTCTCGACCTTCGACGGCACCACATACTCCTTCCTGGACAACTGCACCTACGTCCTCATGAGAGAGATCCACCCTCGTCACGGGAACCTGAGCATCCACATGAGCGGCCACTACTGCAGGGCCACCCCTGCGGCCGGCTGCCCCCGCGCCGTCAGCGTCTACTACGAGACCATGGAGATCGTACTCACCACCACCACCATCGACGGGAGAGAGCAGGGCCTGGTGAGTGGGGAGGCTGGGAGCACGGCGGCCCAGAGCCCTAGGCGCTCAGAGCAGCCCCAGCCACCGCAGACCCCAGAAAAGCAAGGCTTGGGGGCACGGTGTGCTGGCGAGGCTGCTCCCGAAGGGCCCGTGGTACCCTGACCCAAACCCCAGGTGGGCCCCCTGCTGCCCAGCCTTGCTGCTCACTCACAGCTCCCGATGCCCCCAGATCCTGTTTGACCAGGTGCGGGTGAGCCCAGGCTTTCGCAAGGGTGATGTGGTTGTGTCCCTGACGGGGGCCACCACCATGGGCGTCAGCATTCCTGACATCCAACATCACCTTCGACGGGCACATCCTCCAGGCCCAGCTGTCCTACAGTCACTTCGGCCACAACACGGAGGGCCAGTGCGGTGAGTGGGCACGGCCCCGTGCATTCTCCCTGCCCCAGGCGCTCCTGCTGCCCTCGGCCAATGCCTTGGAGCTGAGCAACCACAGGAGGGCTAGGAGGGGCACGCACAGCCTCCCAGCCTCCTGCCGGCAGTGACCTAGCCCTCGCGCCCCAGGCACCTGCACCAACGACCAGAGGGACGACTGCCGCCAGCCAGATGGCACCATGGCCCCCACCTGCCAGGACATGGCCAAGACCTGGTTGGTCCCTGAGAGCAGCAGGGACGGGTGTGGAGCACCAACCAGCCCTCCCCCGGCCAGCAGCCCCCAGCCCGTGATCAGCACGCCCACCTCCACCCCGTGTCCCCCGCCACCGCTCTGCGAGCTGCTGCTGAGCCCGTAAGTCCCTCACTCATGGGCATGGTGGCCCTGGGGCCCAGCTGTCTGCTGGGCAGGGCTCTGACCACCCACTCTGACAGGGTCTTCGCAGAGTGCCACGACCTCATCCCGCCCGGTCCGTTCTTCAGTGCCTGTGTCAGCGATGGCTGCCGCACCATCCCCAAGGTGGCCTGCCAGAGCCTGGAGGCCTACGCAGCGCTCTGCCGTGCCCGGGGCGTGTGCAGCGACTGGAGAAATGCAACTGGCGAACTGTGCGGTGAGTCAGGGTGGCCCCAGGGCTCGGGCCTCGCTGGCCTGCCTGACACCTGTCTCTGCCCACAGTCCTTCCTTGCCCGCCCACCAAGGTGTACAAGCCTTGCGGCCCCGTGCAGCCAGCATCCTGCGACTCCAGGTGAGTGAGCGCCCGCTGGGTGGCCCGGACCTGTGAAAGGTCTGGGAGGGGCCGGAGGCCCACGGATGGCCCAGGCCTCTGCGCTCCGGGTCTCTGCGCCACCCCTCCCCCACCCTGACCCTGGCTCTCCATCCGTACTGCCTGCCCGCTTCTCTTCGCCCAGGAGTCAGAACCCACTGAAGGAGGGGCTGGCCGAGGGCTGCTTCTGTCCTGAAGATCAAATCCTCTTCAACTCCCACACAGACATCTGTGTGCCTGAGTGTCGTAAGCTCTGTCCTCCTGCAGCCGGGATGCCTTCCCCTGGTCCCTGACCCAAACACACGCTGAGCGGGGAGAAGTGGCGTGGGGCTGCGCCTATCTTGACCTCGTGGTCAGAGTGTCCATGCCAGCCCAGGTGCAGGGCTCTATCCTAAGCCGATCCCAGGCCTTGTCTGTCCAACTGGTGGCACAGGACGATCAGTGTGACCTTGAGGCCTGAGGGCCCCCTAATGGCCTCCTGAAGTCACACAAGAAGCAACACTGTCCTGAACCACTTGGGCTGGTGGTACCTTGACCCAAACCCCAGCCACAGGAAACAGACACTCTGATGGGTTTGCAGGGGCTTCTGTACCCAGCAAGAAGACAGAGGCCTTGGCCTGGGGGCAGCCAGTAGCTGGGCCCTAGAGGACCACCCTGGTGGTCTGCAGCCTCTGTCTGCAAAACTCCAGCCTCTTCACCACTTTCCTTCTTCCCTTCCAGCCTGCGTGGGACCAGATGGATTTCCTAAATTTGTGAGTGTTTCTGTCCCCTGGTCCTCTGCTTGAGACAAAGTGTGTGTGTGTGGGAGGGGGGCAGGGGCTGCCAGTGTGGCCCAGCAGCATGTGGGGGTGGTGTGGGAGCACCGGCTGTGCTCTTCGCCCCTGTCACGCTGGGCAGGTCCAGGGAACTAGCCATGCTGGGACTGGAGCCTGACCTGCTGCCAGAACAGCCAGAGTGGCCAGGGCAGGGGAGCTGTCCAGGAGCCGCGGGGGAACCTGCCCTGTTCTGTCGCAGCCTGGAGAGCGGTGGGTCAGTAACTGCCAGGACTGCGTGTGCGACGAGGGCTCGGTGTCGGTGCTGTGCGAGCCAGTGCAGTGTGAGGCCAAGAGCCAGCCCCCTCAGTGTGACCGGGCAGGCTTCATGGCTGTGACCAGACCCAGGGCTGACAACCCGTGCTGCCCTGAGACGCTATGCGGTGAGCCCTCTGCCAAAGGGAGCAGGCTGGGGGAGGGTAAGGGGCAGGGCCAGCACCCCAGGGGCCCACAAAGAGCTGGGGAGCTCAGAGGGCAGAGGAGGCTGTGGCGTCCTGTTTGGACCCTGGCTGGACCACTCAGGTATGGCAGCTCCCAGGGGCCCTGTTTTTCTATCCTAAACTGGGACCGGGGACCTCTGGGCTGCCCAGATGTAGCCCAGGAACTTGGGGAGGACCAGGGAGGTGACGAAGTGGTGGTGGGAGGGGTGATGCAGAGAACCCCGAGGGCCAGGGAGAGCGGCCAGCCCCATGGAAGGTGCCCCTCTGTCTCCGAGGTGGGAACCACACGACTGCGGTGGGTGGGCAGGGCGGGGACATGTCTGATAGCACCCACGTCCCTGCAGTCTGCAACACGACCACCTGTCCCCAGAACCAGCCTGAGTGTGGGCCAGGCCAGGAGCTGGTCCGCACCCAGGAGGAGGGTGACTGCTGCCCCACCTTCAGCTGTGGTGAGTGAGCCAGGGAGGGGCAGGGTGGGCTCCTTGGTCTGGGACTCACCGGGTGGGGTTCAGGTGGGGAGCACATCGGCATCTCCCCCACGCTGCCCTACACGTGCTCAGCTCCCTTTCCTTTCAGGGCCTGAGCTGTGCACGTACAACGGCACCGTCTACGGGGAAAGGGTGTGGCAGGCGGGGCGGGCTGCAGCGGGGCAGCCGTGGCAGGCGGGATGCCCTGTGTCCCTCCACATGTCGGGCAGAGGGTCCGTGGGCCCTATGGGATGGGACAGAGGGCAGCTTCTACCAAGAGCCCTGGAGGGCTGTGTGACCCACACCCACAGTCTCGGGCCCAGCCTCAGGGTCTCCCAGTCAGTGTGCCTGTGCTCAGCCAGGGGGCTCCATCCTCCATGGGAGCAAGAGAGAAGCCACCCTTTGTACCCTTGGTGTCCCCACCACCTGCAGGTCGGTGCGACCTTTCCGGGGCTCGTTCCCTGCCACACCTGCACCTGCGTCTCTGGGGACCCCCAGGGCCCGACCGTGCAATGTGAGGAGGATGCCTGCAACACCACCTGCCCTCAGGTGAGCCTGTGGCTGCAGACCCAGACCCTGTGCCCTGGGCTTCAGCGGCTTCTCCAGCTCAGCCTTTTTCCAAAGGGAGGATGTGAAGTTGGATGGCCGAGGGGGTCCTATGTGGTGGTGAGGGGACAGAACCCTCAGGCTGCCAGGGAAAGGGGCAAGGAACAGGCTCCAGGAAGGTGAGATAGACAGAAGCCTGGGAGGGCCTAGCTTCTGCTGGAACAGCCCTGGGCAGGCCACAGCTAGAGGCCACCAGGGCTGCTGGAGTGTGCACAGGGCCAGGCTGGGCTGGGGTGCTGGGCTGGAGGTGGTGGTGGTGGGGGGTCTGACACTCCTGCCTGTCTCTTCAGGGCTTCGCATACTCGAGGGCAGCCAGGCAGTGCTGTGGGGTGTGCGTGCAGAATGCCTGCCTCACCCCAGATGGCCAGCCCATCCAGGTAACAGGAGGGGCCTGTGGGGTGGCCTCAGCCCCTCCCAGGGGGAGTCTCACCCCCAGCCGGGTTTGACCCTGGGAGAATCCCCAATGGGGTTCTGCTCTCTGTCTTGCATTTTAGCCCAATGAGACCTGGGTCAACAGCCCTGTGGACAACTGCACCAACTACCGCTGTGAAGCTGCAAACAGGGTTTACGTGCTGACCCCTCAGCCCTCGCCCTGCCCTGATGTGTCAAGCTGCAGGGTACGTGGCCCAGAGCCCATGTCCCAGCCCAGCAGGCCCCGCCCACACTCTGGGAGGCCCCGCCCAGAGGCCATTGCCCCACTCCCTGTCCTTGGCCCTGCAGGGGATGCTCAGAAGAACTGGTTGCTGCTACACTTGTGAGGAAGTGGGTGAGTCGATGCCCTGCCCACAGCCCTCTGCTTGCTAGCTTCTGCCCGAAGCTGCCCAGACTTCTCCCAGGGGCAACAGTGGGATCTTGGCCCCCAGACCTAACCCTGCATCTTAGGAGGGTCACGGGACAGGAGGCCCTTCATGGGGGAGCAGCCCCCCGGGTCTGGGTCCTCTGTGGCGGGGGGAGGGG